TAAAAACCGGTAAAAACCCGATATTTTGAAAAAATCAAAATAAATATATTTCTACTGGCCGTATTCAAACGAAATTTTCCACACGAAAGCGCTTGAATTCAAGGAGTATTTCACTCAGATTGACTTGTGGGGAATTCTGAGGAGTTCAAGAGATATTCAAGATTTTCTGGATATGAAATACAGAATATTTGGCAAAGCGGTGAGTAAAATACACGATTGTTTTGGTGTGTGTAATGTTATAACGGCATTTGACCCCCCGTTCGAAAGGTTATTTTATGAGTATTTCAACGGTGGTTTCCGTTTTAAAGGGGGGTAAATACTCTTTGAGATATTTACATCGGAAGCAATTGAATAAAAAATATGAAATTTATCGCCGGACGATAAAGAGTTAAGAAATAAAGGACATTAGTCTAATATTCTTCATGGTCTAGAAGAATGTATTTTTATCAATTTTTCCAGGGCTGGCTGCGACCGGAAACTAGCACAAAAACATCTCCTCTGCTAAATTTTTCAGTCGTGTCCCCCTAGAAATTGAGAGCCAGCTACGGGCTTGGTTCAATTGACCTAAAACTACGATTTGAAAGTTTGGTGTTTAATATGCAAGTTAGCGGTCAGCTGTAAACATCAATCTCAAGGTCTAGACAATCAAGCAGTCGTTATTCGCAGCAGTGGAAACTTTCATTGTGCAACTGGAAAAATGTGATCCAATTTTCAATGAAAAGTTACATGTTCTTATCAAGTTCTTATCAATCTTATTCCACGTTTAAAATTCGCCCCAGGCCCCAACTTTCAAAACGTTGAAATATGTGTGGGATGAAGTGTGATAGTTTGGGCTAATTTGGGACAGCATTGGTCATTTATGGAATTTTATTAAATTTATGCCCTGAAATTTATGGAAATGTTCGCTGTAATTTTTGGATGTTGAAAGTTCAAATGTGGAAGCACTAAATTTCGCAACCACTGACACTAATGAGCACAGAATAAGGCACACAGAAGGGCCCCCTGGCCGCCATCTTCCTAGCCAGTCGATTACATTTTCTGGCCAATAAACGCGCTGTATTGGCTGGCCGCCATCTTCCTGACCAGTCAATTGCATATTTTTGCATAGAAAAATGGTGACACGTTGCAACGCTGAGTGGCCCTTCTGGTACTGATCTTTATTCTGTGCTAATAAGTCATAACTCATAAGTCATTAGTCATGACTCATGATGATCAGTGTTCGCAAGTCGCAATGTTCAGACTCGTAGAATAAATCACTGATCGAAGAAGCGGAACAACCTGAATAAACTTGTAATATCAGGGCTGATTAATGCACCCTGCATACGATATTATTACCAAACGTATTAATGTGAGATGGTAAGAAATTAAACAGGCAAGGAAGTAGGCTACTATTTGTACTAAAATATATCTGCTTTCGAGCGAGTATTGTGATTGATGTACATGTATAAACATAGCTGCTGATACTATCTTCTCTTATATGCATTATTGCAGGTCTTGTGGGCTCAATAATGCTATGAAATATACACATAGTCAATGAATTGTGGACTTACCAAGGCATGTTATCAAATCAGAGAGAGCCAAATAAAATATAATACGTGGATCAGCAGATAGTCGTCTTCGTTGTCTATTACGATATTGCCATAAATTACTCAGTTGTAAAGCTGCTCCAATAAAACCCACTATAGATGTTGATATACATATTATACTAATTGCCAGTCTTTTTTCGTGATTTAGTGTGCTATCTGGAATACAAAAGACTGACCTATCACGTAGAAATGCCATATTGTGTAAGTTCAGAGAAACTATATAAACTATCAAGATTATAAAATGTCAACAAATGATCGTCACATGACTGCTGGTCCGCCGCTGATGGCATATATAATTATGTCAGAAGCTGCCCGTGATACAAGTATTTTCAAGAGTCACGGGAGATCATATTTCATCTTCTATAACCTCGACCGAGCTTATACTAGATTTCTCAACATTATTTCGTAATTATTACATTTTTTGGCCTGTTCGCAGCCTGAAAGTTTGAAGAGGGAAATTTCAATACTGATATCTTAATTTGTTATCATCTTTATATAGCTGTTCCAAATAAACCCCTTTCGTCAAACTGCAGGCACAAAGGATTAGATGCTTTCCCGACATTGTTCACTCTGATCATTCTGCACCTGACTTGTCCTGCAAAGTCCATACCAATTACTGCGTAAGGGCGATGGGGCGTCAAGAAATTCAGACATTTTTTATATTTTTCATCCGCTAGACAAAGATTTGGACAAATCCCCCCTCCAGTCTATGGTGTTAGAATAGGCCCTGATACGGAGAGTCGTCTTGTGTGTCCTACTTGTCGATAAGCTGTCCGGGAGGTGGTAAAGAATACGAGTGGTTTGGCCAATCGTCTCAACCGTCTTCCGAATCCAGTATTGCTCTCGTCAGGGCCGCACAGAGAAATTTGGGTGCCCGGGGCAAATTTTTAATTCGGAGCCCCTATTTTTCCCCAAAAATGTTGGCGAGCGGGGGGGGGAAAGAGGAAAACAAATTTCTCCGGACATATCAAAAAAAGGTTCAAAAAAATTTTTCCAGACAAACACCAGTAAAATTAAGGTTCAAAAAATTTTCCGCACAATTACTTGTAAAATCACGGCTAATACACATTTTTTTGGACCAATACCAGTAAAATTAAGGTTTATTAGATTTCTCTCATACCATTAATTATATAGAAAAAGTTCCAAAAATTTTATTGGGGGCCCCCTTTTGCAAATTTTGGGGGCCCCTTTAACTGGGGACCCGGGGCAAATTGCCCCGTTCCCCCCTCTCTGAGCGGTCCTGGCCCTCGTACTTCATGGTAAGTGTTACTCCCCAATGAAGAATATCCAAATCAGTGTACTTCAAAAAACCAAGACGGTTTGGTGTAAGGTGTTATATCTGGTAAACAGATGAGGAATTGACCTTCTGTTAGTCGCCCTCGTATGATCCCCTTCAAATAAAATTTTTAATATCAAGATTATAATTTAATTATCAAACTTTTAAATTCCATTGTATTGACAATCATATAAAACTTAAAATACCCCCAATTATTTCAGTTCATTTTGTTGAAGTGACAATGATACTGAACTTAAAACTATAGAAGTTATTATCGCAAGAAAGTGCTGACGAATCTTTGCGTGAATGCCATATGGGAAAAGCAACAGGAAATCTGGAATGATATATGTCGAAATATATATCAGTTGCAAAATTGTATGACGCCACGGCTTTTTGCAGATTACGTACAGTTTGACTGATATAATATGTCCTTTCTCATGCAGATCCATTTAAAATAATGCGGTCAGGAAGATGATACTATAGTAATGTTCGTGAGACTAATTTTTGATCCCGTTACTTCAAATCTGTAAGTTTCAATCCGCATTTGTGCCAGTTTAAAATCAGTTCGCTTCGTGTATTACTATCCAAAAAGAAGTAAAGACTAAAGAGTGACTGTCTAGACTAACAGAAATGTTTAAGAAATTCCTAACTCGATCGATCTCGATCAATGTTGGAAACTTGTCGAAATTTTATACTGTTCAAATTGACTGTTCTTGTTCACATGACTATATTTGTTCACATGCATTGTTCATGTGATATTCTTAATCTGCAATTTCACAAACAGTTCTGACAACTCTCTCGGTAACTTTGTATGGGTCTGCATTAGCAGCGGGTCGCCGGTCTTCAAGATACCCATGACCATCTTCAGCACACTGCCGAGGTATACGTACACTGGCACCACGGTCAGCCACACCATGACAGAAAGTGTGGATGTCCGCCGTTTCATGACGCCCTGTTAAACGACGCATATTGTCAGTACCATCCTTCGGATCGTATGCCTTCATATGTAAATCATGTACTTTGGATAGTTTCTCAATAGCTTCATATATATGACTTAAGCCTCCTTCTTCTCTCATTGCCAATGTACTGCGAAAAGAATGATACATGTACCATTATTACTGCATGTCAGTGTTGCAGTCCTAAAATTTTAACGAGGGGGGGGGGAGGGCTAACGAAGGGGAACTCTTCAAGGGAAGCCACTTAAACCCACTGGATTACAATCCAAACAAATTCCAGTGTCATTAAAATACCTAGCACTCTTTTGACTGGCTATGTGCAGATATTTAACAGTTATTCTACGAACTCGAGTCGAATATGAGCTGATAGCCGATGAGGCGCGTAGCGCCGAATCGGCTATCGCTCATATTCGACGAGAGTGAGTGGAATAACTGTTTTATTATATACACAAGGTCTGAATTCACAGACTTTGCTTTTCGGATATTTTTCTATTTTGTTTATGTTTTTATCTTCGCTCTTTCGGCTGATTATTTTTTCAAAAATATATATTTTTAACCATTTTAAATTTTAAAAATTTATTTGCTAACCTGAAAACAAATTGTGGGAGTTTTTTCGTTGTGTTTTTAATCCTATAAAGGTTATAAAAAGCGACAACTTGCCGTTTTCTCGTTTGCAAAACATCGTAAATTCAGTTTGGCCGCCATTTTGTTTTTCTCTACTAGCAGGATATGAGCTAATATCCTGCTAGTAGAGAACCAATCAGATTGCAGAATACCTCATATCCAGACCTTGTGTATATAATAAAGGCTATTATTTCGTTATGTGACGTCATTTAATTAACAATAGACCAAATTATCAAACAAGATGGTGGTTTCTACAAGTCTTAAAATTGGACAACTCAGACGTAATTTTATTTTTGGAGACAGTTCTCTGAAACTGTTCCATGCCCTTACAATTGTCCTTGGTTGGATACGGCTTCATGAGAAATATAAAGTACATTTACCTGAAGTTTGTGTGTGCACCAGCGCCATTCCAATCCCCTGGGACTGGTTTTGGATCGAAAGTGATACAAATACCAAAGTCTTCTGCAACGCGATGCAGAATAAATCTTGACATCCACAAATGGTCACCCATTTCTATTCCTTCACAAGGACCAATTTGATACTCCCACTGCAAACGATAAGTGCAGTCAGATATAGAATGCATAGTGCAAACGAAAAAAATATCCTGTGCGCATGGCGATTGAAAAAATGAGGGGGGGGGGACATATACCTGAAGAAGGAAATCACTTGCCCTATTTTAAAATAGTGCCGACACTTACACGTCCAAATACATATATCACTACTACGGATAATGAAAATAAATAACAGTAACAAAGCGCCGCTTGATTCTTATTCAGTTAATTTCAGTAGAGAGGCACGGCCAAACCACGTTGAAGCTCACAAACAAACAACAAACTATATCGAAAACGATTATTTCGAGATGCATGGTGAATGTTATGGCCGTTCGGAATGGCACGCAAACGCAAATTTCCAGACATTTCAGTAACTCTAATCCTGACCGTACCCTAACCCCAATCCTAGCCCTAACCTGAATCCTAACCTTAACCCCAATTTACTTTTGATCAATGAGATGTGCAGTAGAATTTCAGTCAATCTCCTAACCACGTATTTTGGGAAATTTATTTCACTGTACAAGAATGAGATTTCTCTGACATACTTGAACAGTATAGCTATTCTCATGCAAAGGTGAGTTTTCGGCTCATTATGCAGAGCCCAGTATTTCACAAAATTCGTATGCTGGTTGAAGTTTCTTTCCACATTATTATGGAGTGAATTGTTTTATCCGCAGATTATTATGTTAGGATGAGTTTTTTCACCAGATTATTATGCAACATTGAGTGCGTGCGTTTTTTTTCTCGCTGTTGTTGGGGAGAATTTTTTCCTCCAGATTATTATAAGTATATGAGCTAGGGTGAGCTTTTCATCAGATTATTCCGTATATGGATGCGTTTTTTATCCAGATTATCTTATTCTTCTGTTTCAGAAGTCGTGGGATATGGTAGCTTCGAAAAGGTGGTATGCATGTATATCGAACCCCCCATGCATGGCCATGGGTCAAAACGATCATGTCCTTGCCGGAGTCCTTCATGGAACAGACAACCATTGGAGTCCTTCCATAATAGTGTCTTTCTATCGAGAGCTTGCAACACTGTGGAATACAATAACACAAACTATATAGAAGCTAATCAATGCCCATACCAAAATTCAGCCTAGCGTGAATGCCAGCACTAAGAAATAGTATACTATTTTCTCACTCAGTAGTGATAACTGTCGGTTGAAAACCATCTGCTGCACTTACTATCGGTAGTATATATAAAACAAGTTATAATATGAACCTGCGATGGCATAACTTCAGCATTCGTGCCAGCAATTTTAATTCCAGCATATAGACAAGCTCTATAGTGTGCTTCCACCACATCTCTTCCCAACACTTTACCAGTGCCAACACCACAGTAATATGGACCTTGTGGAGCTGGATAACCTCCCTTCGGCCAACCATAAGGATGGTTAGACTCGTCAACTAAAGTATACTCTTGCTCTATTCCAAACCATGGGTGTTCGTCCTAGAAGTTTTTTATAGAAAGAAATTGTTAAGCTGCATGTAGTATTGGGTACGTGTGGTAAAGTGAGGGATAAGCTGGTGGTCTATTAAGGTGTGCTATATACTAGTAGTCTCCGCTCTGGTAGGTAGACTAAGGTGGGCTATAAGGTAGGAAGGTGCGCTTGATCTTGACAGGCCATGATGATTTAAATTGGCATATATATAAGCTTATACATTTCCATATTTTTATAAATTTTATGCCCTATTTTGTTCGCTCATATATCGAGAAAGGGACCGAATTCGGTCGCCAACACGATTCCCAGGTGGAAAGTGTGGATATGTACTGCAGTTGCAAGACCATATAGCGACCAAGAGGGGGCATGTATAGGGGGCTGTAACTAGGTACATTTCCTGGCGATTTAGTTTAATCAGGTAAATTATGAGAGCATTGCAAGTTAAAATTTAGCGAATGCAAGCTAGAATTAATATTTTTCATGATTAGCGTGCTGAACTGATCGAGTTATTGACTGACGCGGGAAGTTGGGAGAGCTGGAGCACGAGAAGACCGTAAGAGTTGGGAGTAAAAATAATGCAGCCAGGATCCAGTTCACAAGTTTTGCCGTTTAGTCAAAAACTCTCTGCATGACTTCTTACACTTGAATGACGAGCTGGTATAAGCTAACTTGGGGACCATTTACAACGTGATTTAAATTGGTTAAAATAAATCAGTTATCTGTTTGAAATAAATGGATGAGTGTTTTTATTCAACAATTATATTTTACTGATTAAAAAATGAAAAAATTTTACGAACTGTTTATGAAAAAATTCCCCGCGATTAATTGAGCACGCATTTCAGCCAATCAAAAACGTTCTTATATAACATATATATTATAAATGCCAAATTTCAGTTGCATGATTTGCGGGCTTTCTGAGTTTCTGGCGGTCTAAATCAGTAAATGTTCAAAATTTCCTCGATCCCCCTAGTAGATTTATCCCCGTATTCCATTGTGCGAAGTAATTTGGACTTCTCCCTAAAGCCCCAACGGCAAGGGCCCAAGGCCTTCGCTACGTTCCTGTGCGGTTGCATTTTCAGGATAGTGCCTTTCGTAATGGCATGGTAAATATTTTAAATTTCAGATATCTCGCTAAAAGGAGCGCCATCTTTATACTTTATCCTGACAAATTCTTCAGTGTGTACGTTCGTGATGGTAATTAGGGAGCTAACAAGCATACGACGTTTTTGTCAACACGGACGTCAGATTGCCGAGCTGGGAGACTGGATTAAAAACTGTGTTTGTATCAGTTTGTGATAACCTCAACACATATGGCAAAATGCAAGAATTTAAAAGTTTTTTACTTCCTTACGGATGAACCATTAGATATTTGAGGGGGAAATACAAAAAAAAATTCGCGCACAGAAAAAATCCAGAAAAAATATCGTGCACAACAAGCCTATTGAAAAAAAAATCGAGCAAGAACTAGGGCTGATTTTTAAAATCGTAATGCAATTATTTTAAAACATTAAAATGGTGTTTTTACGGCATTCGAAAAAAATTATGCCTTCCTCCCCCCGTCGACGAACTTTTCGACGAACTTTCCGGGAAAATTTTTTTAGGTCATCTTAAAAAAAATATCGTGCAAAGGAATGTTGCAGAAAAAAAATTCTTGCAAGCAATTGGGGGATGAAAAAAATTCGTGCACAGAAAAATTGCCCAACCCCCTCAAATATCTAATGGCCCGTCCCTTACACTAGCGCTATGATTGTACCAATTTGTCCAATTTTCGGGTTACATCCATGTTGTTAAAAACGTCGCTTGCTTAAAGTTAAGCTCTTAGCTCACTGCCGATACTTTCATTAGCTCGGCTGCATGACGCGCCGGAATTTTCGTAATTAAAAACGAACCGAAGTTTACACAAAATTGATTCTCCTATGGCAACACCACACGCGTCCAACTGCGTGTGAGTCAAGGTCACTCACTTGCATTAAATTTAAAAGCAAATATTGATTTTCCGATCTGTTGCAAGGTCAAAGACCCCTCAATCCAGTCTACTGCTGAAAAAAAACTCGGTATTTATGTCGCAGGATGTCGGATAACGCCATTGTTGCATGGATTACACATGATGTTGTGGATCAAGGTTCCATCTTCGACTTCGTGCATGTCCCCAACAAAAAGATCCCGTGCAACGACCTCATTTCTATTTCTTGCAGTTTTACGGCTTTTAAACTACTTTCCTTTGAAGAAGAAATGTAATATTAGCTTTATTAAAAAACCTCAACTTCGTGCATCAACTTTTTCACTGTCAAAGTTTCCGGATATGATGTCATAAGATGAATTTTTGGAGCAAAAAACAAAGAAAACAAAGGTATCGTAAGATACCGTTTTGGAGATTTTTGAGGTGGCATTAATTCCACAACTAACGGTTCTAGTAAATAAAGTAACTTGAAGTCTTTAATGTGTAGAATAGAGTTTCAATTTAGTTAATAGTTATACTTATACGAGGATCATGGCAAAATAAAAACTGTAATCGATACTTCTGCTTGGCTAATCATCACAACCCGACATAATCTTTATTAAGCGGCTTAAGCTTTCTCTGCGCAATACTCTCATGCAATGACCATGACCTTCACTGACCCACAGATGTTTATATTTTAACTATTAAATGTGCCATTTCACACATATACCAAAAAGACAATGTCAATGTCAACGATGGCCGAAAATGGCAATTTTGAACAGATATTTTTGGCCGTTCAGTGCTAGTTGCACAACTATATATTGAATGGTACTAACAACACACAGTATCCAGACATGTTTGTTTTACAATTAAGTGACGTCGGCTATCCTAAACTAGTATAGGCCCATCGTATCCACTGACCCATATGAGCAAATATTACAGTAGCTTATAACCAGTACTCACTGTAGCCTATATGATTACAGGAAACCTCTGCATCCAGGGTACCGTAGCTTCATACCGACTATCAAGTAATTTTGCTAGTCCATGCTCGCCGTGATCCATGGGCGTTCATTGCCTCTTACAGAATTATTGAAATTATGTTTTGCTAATAAATTGCTTGGAAAATTTCAGTACGAAATAAGCTTACCTTGGCTTTCTCCATAACTGTTTTACAGCTTTTTCTTAAGTTGGTTGCTGTAGGTTTATGGTCATAGTGATATGTCTCACATAAGAGAAGTTTGTTAGGCCCACGTCGAAAAGGATCTCGAAATATGGCAACTGGATGGAGATATACGTCGCTGTTTGATCCACTTGCTTGGCCAGTGCTAGAGAAATATGGATCATATTATCAGGTAATGATCAGAGATCTTGCCAGAGACAGAGTACATGCTTATTGGTATGAATAGAGACTGACAACCTATGGTGTAAAATTTATAACAACGAAACGATTTATGAATTGTGATCGTAATAAATATCTGCAGAACATTCACTGGTCCTGAGTGACGTAGGCAATATATAATTTACATTTGCGTGAAGTTCTAGCCAAGTAAACCAACAGTAAATCAATCGCAAATCCCATAATTCTACTATGCACATTTCCTAATCATTAATTTTTTAATGTATTCATTCATTTTTTTAATGCGGGTCGACCCATCCACAGCATGCTACCCATAGTATATATTCGAATAATACATTGCATAAGACTGTTCATGCAATTTTGAAAACAGCATGCCATAACATATTTATTGATATATTTACCTAAATTTTAATGAACTGCAGATTATTAAATCAACCTGGCACATACGTTACAACTTTATTGCAGTCTGATGCACCATTGGCATTGACAGTGATAACGTCTGGTATATTAATTCATATTTTCAGCATGTGGCAATTAGAACATTTTTTCACTTCAAACGTTTTGTTTCATATCAATGTTAATTTTCTATCCTCATTGCTACAAAACGATGCCAAACGCTAAAATCGCTGGGGCTGGTAAGTCCAAAGTATAGCAGTCGTTACTGATTCGTCGAGATTTTTCGCTCGTTAGACTAAAGGCCATGTTACACGGTGCAATTTTTCTTGCAACTTGCAATGAAATTCTACTCTTGAGAGGTATTAATTAGTGAAATCAGTGAAGAATTTTCGATATGTTCAGAAAACAGCGGAGTGTAATGAAGACTCGTATTTGGCAATTTTACATCTCTCAAGAGTAGAATTGCATTGCAAGTTGCAAGAAAAATTGCACCGTGTAACGTAACCTTAAGTTCCAATCTTTCCTATTTACAATTTCATCGATGCCACCTTATATCCATAGGGTTCATTGCTGGTCACTCACCAGTAGTCCAGTAGCCAACCACACATAGCTACCTACTCTGACTTTATGTCCTTGAAAACTCGAGCTCATGTAAGTTGAGGTAAGATTGGTCTCTTCAGTTTTCCTCCCTCAATACCTCATCAACAACTATATCCCTTGCTCCGTGAGAGACATGCATCCGATGCGAACATCGTAACCGAGTACCAACTTTCAATTCTATCCTTAACTAAAATTTCTGTTATCCTATTTTAATTCGAAGATTATGTTGATATGAGTGATAGAGTCCGCTTACCTTGAGCCGTCAAAGTTCCATATAGGGCAGTCATTCGGCTCCTTCGGTTCGAAGCTCATAGTCTTGGTTTTACAGCGGAGATTTTCTCCAGTGCCATCAATCCAAACATACATCACTTGAACATATTCTCCCTGGTCTAGCTCTAGGTAGTTGCCCAGAATTTGCTTTGTTGGTTTGTCCGACATCTTCGTTCGTTTGAGGATTTTTCGTAACTCCTAAAACTGAGACAACTCAGGCCAATGCCACTGCAAGTGCGAATGACAGTCTCTTATCAGACGTCTCTTATACTATACTCAGACAACCCAAAACATCACGTGTTCTGCACTTAAATTTCACCATCATTTGTTCACGTGCAGGTCTGCAGGAAACTGAATCTTCTTTACAATCTTATGTCAAAACAGCTTGGTCGACAAGTTCAGACACGTTTCCAGCAATAAACAAATAACCGACATTGACAACAGGGTGAAATGCAAAGATATATAGGTAACTTGGTGGAAGGAAATATACAAACTCTGCTCAACTGATTTATCTTAGCGGAATAGCGTTATATTTTGACCTTTGGACTGAATGATGGAACTTGATACTGAATTTTTAAATATCTGTTATTAATAATGCATGTTTAGATAGACTGTATAGATAGCATGGCTGCATTGTGCACGACTAAATGTGCTGCGGTGCACGCGCATATGTAGTCAAGATATGGCCTAAGCTAGTGCACGAGGTCCCGAAAATGCTACTACCCTTGCCCTATTTGTTTGAAAATTACATTGACATCATTCGTTCGCACCATTATTATCAGTTTAATGGAATTAATGCTATTAACTCTGTGGATGAGACTCAGAAAAATGAGTTTAGTCTCCCCCCCCGATCCAACCCTCGATCCAAATATAGATACTCCGCAAGGTACGATATCGTACGAGAGTCGCATGATATGACGGGTTATAGTCATCATGCAGGAGGCCAAAAATAAAGCGAAATTATGTAAATACAATCTGTCGGCCGAGTGCTTTCGTTTGTTTTAATTTTCAATGTAGGATGACTCTGCAGGACACTGTAATCTCAGACAGACATGTGATACTCAAATGGAGGTGTGGTGTAGGAAAGGGAGAAAATAACTTTACATGTGACTATATATATATATATCCAGTTTTATGTGACCATATATATATGTATCCAGTTTTCACTTTACATGTGACGAATTCCGGCTTCTCCAAATATTTATTTTACTATTATTAAAATGTAAAAAGCCTATCATGAGAAGGATTAGTATATGACATACATGGATAATCTGAGTTTTTTGTGTTTTTATAGAAGATTGAATTTTTCTTTAGCTAGCTAGCTAAACACAGCATGAGAAGAACAGACTCGCACATGCAAAAAACCATGGCGCAGTCTAGTTGGCCCAGTCTGCAACTATAGGAAGCTCTGTCACCGTTGACACGGTAACTGAGATGAATTCGGAACCGTGCTCCAGCACATGTAAAGTACAAAGATAACAAAGAAGACCAGTCAATCCGAGTACTGATCGAGCTGTGTATTTATTAATACAGTGTATTAATTTGTACAACGAGCTCGAGAGGTTAGATAATATTTAAATATCTCGGCATCATCGGCACTATAAGCATTTCTATATTTCAGTCCGTTCAGATGTGCCGTACTTTTGAAACCACTCTTTGACCAGCACCTTGGCAACGTGGATGCTTTTTTATCTTCCGCGGGCACTGCTAGCGCAAACTTGGTGAAAACGTCAGTCATTACAAAGACATTTTCTGTTATATCACTCGAACGTTCCAACAACGTAAAGTCAATGGCAAAAACTGACAGGGGTTGTTCGGTAAGAAGGTACCCCATTGATGTTCGAATACGCGATTGTGGCATCTTGGACAAAACACATCGTTCACATGACTTGATGCATTTCTCTACATCTGTGTAGTGTGTACATACCTGGCCAGCAGCATCGAGATCTAGCTAGAAGAATAGTTCTCTCTAAGCCCTGATGTGCCATGTCGTTGTGAAGACTGCGAATTACTCTCTCCTTTAGAATCTCAGGTAGCACCAACTGTTGTACCTCCTGCTCTCGTGGATCAATAATCGTTCGGTGCAATACTCGGTCCTTCAGTTCCAACCGTTTCCATTGCCGTAACAAGACATGCACGGGTACCAATAGTGAGATCTTTCTTCTCCTTTGGATCGGGTTTCCTGCCAACTCTCCAAAATTTCAGGAGTGAGCTTATCGTTGGATCACTTTGTTGCATCTGCATTAATTCAGACTTGGAGTAACTTGGAAATGACTTTGTTCCTGACTTAGGTACACTACTCAGTTCTGTGTTCATAGCGTTGTTTGCCACATACGTTTGCTCTAGGAGCTTCAAGGGTTATGTCTACATTTTTTTTCAAAGTGGCAATAGCTACAATCGCGTGCAAAAATAATGAGACTTTTCACATTTTTGGCCATTTTAAAGTACGTCGGCCTCCCCCCTGCCCCCCATGATCAATGTTGGAAAAAGTTTTCAGTCATCCACACAACATTGAATTGGGGGTGAGGGGGACATTTATGCGGTTGTCTCAATAATTTTTGCTCCTGATTGTTTCTATTTGTACTTTTGAATAAAACGCAATTCGTTCATGTTGATTCAACTTAGTGCTCCAGGGAAGACGCTGACTTGGATTTCTTGCTTAGTGAACCTTTTGCTATAATATTTTTTCTCAGCGGTTTTCTATAACTGAGTACTTCATGTAAAAAGAATATAGGGATCTTGAGAACTATAGTTATTTTTTGTTAGGAAAGGACGATTAATTGATGAATATATACATTGGAAGAAGATTATAAAATAATGAATAAAATTCAGACTATTTTTCCCCATGGCTGACAATCATGAGTATATATTTTTTTCTCAAACAGAATATTTTCTTTAAGTTCAGGTATTTTATAGCAGACAACGCATCGTTCAGACCTACTTGTATACAATTTTGGAAAAATTTCAATGATTTTCCTACTTTTAGCTGAATTGTTACGTAAGATTGACATACTCACTAGATTTTAAACCCAATTGAAGCATTTTATTTATGTTGATATATGGCGAAGTGGTTAGCGCACTTGCCTTTCACCTCTAAGGCCGCAGGTTCGAATCTCGATGGGGACTTCTCATTGTGACTGGAACCCAGTCCTAATGTGAAAAGAGTAAGTCAACGCTCTGCCGAAAGTCGTGGGTTTTCTCCGGGCACTCCGTGTTTCCTCCCACAGGGAAAGTTGACAGGGTGGGTTAGGCACATAACTATGTAAATGCACGACCACACCAGCTATGCTGCGAATTTAATCGTGTTGAAATAAATGCTACAAACAATCGTAAACTTGCATCTCCTATGATTTTGGGATTATGTGAAATGAGCTCAAGCAAATCTGGTCGCACATGCGCAACATATCAATCTATTTTTACGTACTGATTATAGACACTTTACACACACGTTACACCACACGTTACGTCGTTACACCACACGTTACATAATAATCTGTAGTAAAACATATAGAGATACGACACGCTACACACGTTACACTAGTTGTTATTAAAAATAAATATATATATATTTATTTTCAAAAAACAATTGGTGTAACGTGTGTAACGTGTCATATTTCTATATATTTTACTATAGATTCTTATGTAAAGTAGGTGTAACGTGTAGTGTAACGTGTGTGTAACGTGTCAGCGTTTGCTTAATGAAGCCAAGTGCATAAAATTTACATGAACTAATCACTTTAGCCGATTAGTTGGTGAACATCCCACAAGCACATCTGCACATACTGCAGTATAAATGACAGGACAAAAAAAAAATTGCAGGACCCCACTGAAAAACACTTCGATGATTATTATTATTATTACTATACTTAATTGACATTCCCAAATGGGTTTTTCAATGACAATTTACATGTATAAATGTAAGAAAATTGCTGCACACTATTTAAGAATTTATCTAATCTAAAATCTATCTAATTTATAATATAATATCATTATATTTACAAAAAAAATTAAAAAATTTTAAAAACAGACTTATCTTTATGTGGTTTAATTAAAACATGACAAAGTTGACTATCTATGTTTCTTCATCTGATCAGTCTTAAGTTTTACTTTAAAACTGTTTAAATTCGTTATTAATTTTATCTCCTTATCAAGTTCGTTCCATAATTTTGTACCTCTATACTTAAAAGTTCTTTGTCCAGTACAAGTCCGAAACTTTGGGATATCTAAATCTTCATTACTTCTTGTATTACGATCGTGAACTTGGTCTCTTTGTTTGAATTTATGTTTGAAATTATCACAGAGATATGAAAGAGCTTGGCCATTTATACATTTCAAAACATTAATAGTGTATCTCTGTATAACAAGTGTTCTTTAATTAATTGGTAGCCATCCAAGTTCACTTATTGTTGGAGATATATGATCAAACTTCTGTACACCCGATATTATTCTGGCAGCATAATTTTGTATTAACTGAATCTTGTCAATGTTACCTTCTGATGTATTAGACCATACGGATGAACAGTAATTGATTTTACTCATTACCAATGTATATCTATAATCATAGCAAGGGTCTTCTTGTCAAATAAATGTTTCACTCTATTGATTTGGCCTAATTTAGAAATACAAGAAGACGATAAGGTTTGAATATGTTTATTGTAAGATAAGAGAGAATCGAGAAACATACCCAGATCTTTCACTTCCGTTATCGGTATAAGATTTTTGCTTATGAAGTTAATGTTAGGTGGAGACTGTATCTGTTGCATCATTTGTCGTGATCCAACTATCAGCATTTTGGTTTTTTCCGGATTTATCAGAAGACTATGGTTACAACACCATTGAAATATTCTTTGTAGGTCTTCTTCTATAGCTTCAAGGGAACAGTCCCAGAGGACGTCGAGGCTGTTTGCCTCGAAATTATTAAGCCTAAATCTAAACCTGTCTTAGTTGCATCTGCATATAGGCCACCGAATTCGCAAATTGAATTCCTTGATAAAATTGAAGTATTATTTCAAAACCTTGACAACGAACATAAAGAACTAATTATCGTTGACGATTTAAATTGTGATTTTTTATCCAACAATTTAAGCAATCACACTAAACGTTTTAATGATATAGTAAATATATTCCAGCTGACACAGTTGATTGACCAGCCTACACGAATTACCGAAAAAAACAGCTTCTCTTTTGGATGTCGCTCTTGTAAACAATCCTGAAAATATTTCGCACTCAGGAGTATTGCATGTTGGAATAAGTGACCATAGCTTGATCTACGTTTGTAGAAAAATTTCGTTTGTAAAAAATGATCCCAAATTTGTTGAGTCAAGAAATTTTAAAAACTACATACAGCGAGACTTTAACCAAGACTTATACCATGCTTTATCTAATTTAAATTGGGAGATAAATGATCCAAATATGCTTTGGGAAAACTTTCAAACAACATTCAATTATGTTGCTGACATTCATGCTCCACTTCAAAGCCGTAAAGTTAGAAACAGAAAGGCACCGTGGCTGACTGATGCAATTAAGAAATGTATGAATCGCCGAGATTATCTCAAGAAGAAAGCTATTAAGACAAACTCAACTGCATGCCACAATGCTTACAAAAGTCTTCGCAATGAGATTAACAAAAAAATTATGTATGCAAAGCATGCAAAGCGAGATTATTACACAAACTGTGTTGACAGAAACAGAAATAATACAAAGCAAATGTGGAAACATATTAATCAGATAGTTAATAAAAATTCTAGATCAACAAATATATCAGTACTACAAATAGACGAACAGGTTATTACTGAAAATGAAACTATAGCTGATTTGTTCAATGAATATTTTACTGACATAGGACCAAATCTGTAAAACCAGATCATGGAAACTAACACTGATTTTAAACGTTATATGAAATTTAAAACTCAACATAAGTTCAATTTCGAAAACATTAATATCAATGAAGTGTTAAATGCACTGGAGAAATTAAAGACGTCTAAGTCAACTGGACATGATAATATCCCAGCCAAACTTTTGAAAGATGCGAGTGATGCCGTGGCGCCTTTTTTAGTATTTATTTTTAATACTTCACTCAAACATGGAATTTTCCCTGATGATCTTAAGACTGCAAGAATTTCTCCAATTCATAAATCTGGTGACAAAAAAAATCGAGGCAATTATAGACTGATTTCCATTCTTTCGATTATTGCTAAGTTATTTGAGAAACTTGTCTGTACACAGCTCAATTCCTTTTTAACTGAAAATAATATTCTGAGTTCGTGTCTGTCTGGTTTCCGTAAAAATTATTCCACCGCATCAGCCCTTTTAGCAAATACGGATTCATGGTTACTTAATATGGATGCTGGGATGATAAACGGAGTACTTTTTCTGGACTTATGTAAAGCATTTGATACGGTTGATCACGGAATTCTCCTAAGTACATTATCTATCTATGGAATCCAAAATAAGGCCTTAGATTGGTTTAAATCTTATTTGCATAACAGAACGCAATACTGCAGGGTGAACAGTGCAACATCGTCCACCAGGAAAATACGTTGTGGGGTTCCCCAGGGATCGAACCTTGGTCCCCTTTTGTTTTTATTATACGTCAATGACCTGCCAAATTGCTTGGATAAATCCTGTCCGGCAATGTATGCAGATGATACAAATCTTACAGTATGTTCAGATAACATTAATAATTTGGAGGAAGCACTAAATTCTGAAATGAAAAATATTCACCAGTGGCTTCTTTCAAACAAACTAACTTTAAACATTGAAAAAACAGAATACATGATCATTGGAACCCGTCAAAGACTAGCTAAAATTCAAAAAAATACCAGCGTATCATGCGGGGGGAAACTATTGAAACAGGTTTATTCCAAAAAGACTTTAGGTGTACTGATAGTAGCCTGCGAATACAGACGCCTCACATCAGGCGAAATGTAACCGAGTTTTGATTACTGCTACATGGTTTGGGGAAACTGTGGCGAAGGTTCAAAAGAAAAGCTACAGAGACTACAAAACCGTGCAGCTAGAGTAATCACAGGTGATACCTATGAAATTCGCTCCACGGATATTTTAAAGAAATTAAATTGGAAAACACTCGAAGAGAGAAGAAAGGAGCAAAAATTAGCATATATATGTGGCCAAAGCCCTTTCAAACCAATGTCCTGAAAACGTTTCAATATGTTTAAAATCTCAAATTCTGATAAATATAATTTAAGAAGTAATAACAAGATGCTGATGTTGTCGAAGCCTAAAACAAATTCAATGAAAAGGACATTCGGATATGCTGCTTCTAAAGACTGGAACTATAATAGTAAAAATTTTAAATCTACTTAATTCATTTGTAATATATATATTTAACGTATTGCTTCGACCTAAACATTTCTTAGTATCTTTTAATATTTTTATAATAGTTTATATAATAGTATTTCGAGTTTTAATTTGTATTTAGTAACACGGCCTAATGAAAAACAACCTTTATAATTTTTGTAAATACTGATAGGTAATATGGTTGATTAGTTACAGTATAAAGATGTTGTAATAATAATAATAATAATAATACGGGAAAAGTTAGAAAAGTTTTCGAGTCGTCCCGAATGATTCTAGATTACATGATTTAGTGGGCAGGCTGTCAGTATAAATATTAAAAAGAAATGGCGAAAGCACTGAGCCTTAAGGAATTCCATGTTCTAAGGCAGCACACGTCGATGTTGCAGTACCAATACGAACATATTGTGATCTATTAGACAAGTAGCTTTTGAACCAATTGAGGACTTCTGATGTTACTCCTAAGTCCATTTTTTTTTAACAAGATATCCTGTTGAACACTATCAAAAGCTTTTGATAGGTCCAAGAATATAATAATCGATAGTTGCTTCTTATCTATTGCCTCCAATAAAATATCCGTTACAGCGATGTTGAGTGTTTCGGTAGAGTGCAACTTACGATTGCCACTTTGATGTTTCGTTAGTAATTTATGTTCCATCAAATAATCTGTAAATTGATTTAATGCTACTTTATCGCCAATTTTTGACAAACTCGAAAGTAATGATACAGGACGATTGTTCGGGGCATTATCTGGATCACCGTCTTTGTGTAAAGGTATAACCTCCGCCAATTTCCAATCAGCGGATACGTAGACGTCATCAAAGAACAATTTATGATATCAGTTATAGGATCTATAATTATTTCTAGGGTATCTTTGAAACATTACACACTCCCTTTGTCGGGATCAGGAGCTTTGTTAGACGGAGATCTTAAAATTATTTTACGTACTTCTTCTCGCGTAACTAAGCTAAACTTAAATCTCTCAACATCCGATACATGTGTCGATCTTGGTGATGGGGATGTTATTAAAATATTGTTTTGATCTGCTAGTTCTTTAACTTTATCAACTGTAGTTTTCCCCACTGAGATGAAGAAATTATTAAATCCTCAGCTGCTAATTCCAGGTCCTTACGGTAGGTGGGTTCCGTAATTTCTTTGCTAGGAAGGCACCCTCTAATAACTTTCCACATTGATTTCGAATTATCCTTATTCTTCTCGATTTGACTGCAGATATACTTAGATTCAGCTTTTCTTATAGATATTTTGACAGCATTTCTAAGTTGCTTATAACTGTTCCAATCTTCTGAATTCTTTGACTTACGAAAAGATTTTAAACGTCGGTTCCTGACTTTCATTAATTGCTTTATTTGTTCACCGATGAACTTGTGCGGTCTTCCTTTGATTTTTATATACCTCATTGGTGCATGTCTGTTTAGAGTGTTTAAAAATAATTCATTAAACAAGTCAAGCTTTGAGTTTACATCATGGATTGAGTATATCTCATGCAGAGGAAGTTGTGCGACTTCTCTTTTAAAACTTATCGGGTCATAACTTTTATGGCTTCTCACATGTATATATTTAGAATTGGGCTTTTTGATCTTTACTTTGATAATATCATAGCCATAGATTAGGAAATGAATAGATGGCTCACTCCTTTGATGTTTTTGAAGTTACCGGCACCCACGCATGTTCTTGCCAGAGTAATGGCGACCTAGCAAGTAACTGTAGTAAAATGCATTGTGAAATTGACATCGGTGCTACTAAATCCTGTATTTTTATAATTCTGATTTATTTATCAATTAAAACCCCCAAAAGCGGAAAAATATAGGATTTAGTAGCACGGATGTCAATTTCACAATACATTTTATTATCGTTCTTGCTACGCCGCCATTACTCTGGCAAGAACATGCGTGGGTGCCGGTAGCGTCAAAAACATCCAAGGAGTGAGCCATCTATTCATTTCCTAATCTATGTCATAGCTGCCTCGAAAACCTTTGTCTCGTGAGGAACGATTAATCACTACTTTACCTCATTACCCATGCATACGCTTTGTCTTCTAAATTTACCCGGTAAATTTAGTTGAAAACAAAGGATTTCTTTGTCTTCTAATTTTCCCCTGCATGCTTGATGAGGGAAATTTAGAAGACAAAAGCGTACCTCGTTACCTCTGATTGGAGAGCTGTACCTCATCGAAAATCATCGGCACAACTATGGACAGCACCTGACGACACCGTCCCGTACGCATTCGAACAATCACTTTGCCATCTTTTATTCCCTAATCTTGAACATTACAATTGTGGGAGAAAATTCCGTTTATGCGCATGCCTAAAACGAATGAACACGGAGATGTGTTTCTGCGCGTGCGTATATATGAAAAGTGTTCGTACCACAATCATAAGACAATCAAACAGCATTCAAAACAGGCAACACACCACGTGCGATTCCCTCGGCACAGAATAAAGACATACAGAAGTGTAACTTCCATTACAAAACCGTAAGGCGCTTTCACTGAAATAGCTGGCGGCCATGTTCTTAGCAAGTGCCCTAAAGAAAGGCATTCACCCCCTGGAATATTAAATTTTAAATATGTTTTCAGGGGGGTGACTGCCTCTCTTTAGGGCACTTGCTAAGAACATGGCGGACTGAAAAAATCCCTTACGCACTTTTAATAAGAAGATACACTTCTGTATGTCTTTATTCTGTGCCCTCGGCAACTATGATATACGCACCTCAGGACTTTTACTAAACCTCTCTCGGCTTTCGGGTACATTTAATCACTAATCGACCTGAATGCCATGCTATTACTTATAAGTATACAATATACCAAACAGTGGTCGCTTATACCTGTGTTCATAACACCACTGGTTTTAACTTTGGTAAGGGGCGTAATCATTATAACGTCCAGTAACGATCTAGTTTGTGCGGTAATCCTCGTCGGTTCTTCAATAATTTGACTCAAGTTAAGTTCTTAACAAGTATCTAAAAGTGCCTTAGCATCGACACTCGAATTATTAAGGAGATTACAGTTTAGGTCACCCATTATAACAATCTGTGGCTGCATCATGAATGCTTCGATGAACATTGGTTTAAATTCGTTTTTGATACAGCATACAGGACAATTTGGTGGCTTATACGTTACACGTCTTTTGGTGTCCTAGGTGACCATGCAGTCATACTCGAAACTGATGCTAGCCGCGAGAAGTCTGCATATCTCAATACTGGCGCAGTTGTCAACAAATGCTTAAGCCTATGGAAGGCTTGTTGATGAACTGCAACGCTTTGGGAAAGGTACTAACACATATGTTTCTAGTCTAGTTTCAGTTCATGTAAACACCGGTTCTGTAATTATTCATGCAGTGGGTCAGCGAACTTGGAGAAATCTTTTACGAAGCGACGATGGTAGCTAGCAAATCCAATAAACGGACGAAATTCTTTCACGGTCTTGGGTACCGGCCAATTTTTCACCACAGATATTTTGTCAGGGTCAGCCGAGACACCGTCAGATGAAACCACATAACCCAGATACGAAACTTCTTTCGCTTTATCTTTAAACCGTGTTGCGCTGGCCTCGTTAAAACTTTTTCCAGTCTCTCCAAGAGTTCGTTACTATTGCTGATTTCTAAACGGCGACATAGCTTAGCAACTGGGACTGGTCTCTGTGCTAATTGATAAATGGCGATATAGCTTAGCAACTGGGTGTGGTCCCTTTGCTAATTTCCAAATGGCGACATAGCTTAGCAACTGGGTGTGGTCCTTTTGCTAATTTCCAAATAGCGACATAACTTAGCAACTGGATTTGGTCCCTGTGCTAATTTTAAAACGGCGACATAGCTTAGCAATTGGGTTTGGCCTCCTTGCTAATTTCGCAATGGCGATATAGCTTAGCAATTTGCGACATTAGCCCTGGAAACACGTGCAGTTTTCACGGCTGTCACGTGGTACGAATTGTAAACATTGCGGACATTAGCAACTGGGTTTGGTCCCTTTGCTAATTGCTAAATGGCGACATAGTTTAGCAACGGGGTTTGATCCCCTTGCTAATTTCTAAATGACGACATCGCTTAGTAACTGGGTTTGGTCCCTTTGCTAATTTCTAAATGGCGACCGGCATTGCTTAGCAACTGGATTTGGTCCATTTGCTAAATGGCGACAGAGCTTAGCAACTGGGTCTGATCGTTTTGCTAATTGTAAAATGGCGACATAGCTTAGCAACTGGGTGTGGTCCCTTTGCTAATTTCTAACTGGTGACGTAGCTTAGCAACTGGGTGTGGTCCCTTTGCTAATTTCTAAATGGCGACATAGCTTAGCAATTGCATTT